TTTATTTCGCTCTTCTTTGCTGGGGATGTTCACGACATAATATAGATAATTTCGGAGACAGGCTGTTTCAATATTCAACATTGCCTACCAAGACAAATCGGGAGATGTGGTATACAACATCATAGTATACAGACGGTGAAACTCGATCTAAAACAAAAGCTCCACACTCCGTCATCAAACTCATGTATTTTGCTCGCAAAGGCGAAGACTCTTATCATCATACGGCATACCTAGGTTGAATAGCATGGTGACGAATGGGAACTTTGTTACAGTCTCAATAAACTTGTTTCAGAATATTATCATAGTTTCAGTAAGGGTTTTGCGGCACTTGCAACACATCTAGGTTATATAAGTGCCAAAGATTAAAGGTGTTACAAGAGAGTTACAAACGCAAAAAGAAGGAGAAGAGATACAGACGATATATGTTTGATAGAAAAGAAGGAGCAAACCACACCAGTGGACCTGTCAACCACCTACAATATTAACATAGACCTTGAACTGTGGCGTATTTTCGGTTCTCTATTTAACTCAATTTGAACCAAAGAAAGGACAAAAGGGGAAGGTCCTGTGCACACTCAACTAGGCCTATAGCAGGACTGGTTAAGGATTGGATCGCAAATGCTTTACAACTCCATGAGCATAGATATATCTAGCTTAGATCATCCATGAGGCGGACTTCCTAAATCTTAAATCCATTCCAGGGCCGATCCGAGCTGAGCGGGATACAACATACCCACAGACAGACGGAGATATTTGATGAAAAATCTCCCACTTGGAAGTTAAACCCATGTCTTTTGCATGCAGCGGCGAGAAAACTAACCAATAAATTACACTACATGCATGAAATGATCATAATTTATCTAAAGTGCATCGTTGGCGGCGGAAAAATTTTATTATTCAATTTAAGTACACATTTTAAAGTACTTGCAATACAATTTGATCATTAAGTGCCAAAGATTAAAGGTGTTTCTAGAGGGTTGGATAGAAAAGAGGAAATATAAGGGAAAAAGATGTTTGTTTGGAAAGAAGGAGCAAATCACACTAAACTGCCTGCCAACCACCCACACACATATATTAAAAACACAGATACAATGGGACTGAGTTGAGTGAGAGAAAAGTGAAGGTCTTCAGAGATACAAAACAAAAACTTAACTAGGTTTGCTTTTCTTCCATCTACCAAGGTTATTTTCGCAGTATTACGGAGGTTCCGTGACTCTCTCCTCCCCCCCAAAGATGGAGCGGTCCTCTCTCGCTCCTCTCCCCTCTATACGTCTGTCTGTTGTATAACATTAAGACCATCAGACGGCGTGCAAACACCACTGTGTGTTGGGAGGATGGGAGATGCGGGGTGGGATGGGAGCTACTGAATATAGGGGGGGACAAGACGAGGAAAATAGTATGTTTTCGCTGCAAAATGCCTCGG